CCAAAATCCGGAGATAAATCAGGATTTGAGGGTAGGTTAGGTCAAATGCATTGGGTCAGCCCCCCCCCCCCCCCCCCCCCCCCCCCCAACAATCCATTCTAGAAAGTTATACGCGTGAGCGCATCCCTGATCCAAAGCTCCATGTGAAACAAATTGCAAACAAAACTTTGAACCCGCGTACCCGCAGTCTTAGAAACAAGAAAACCAATGGTCGTGTTGCAGTTTCCATGAAAGCGAGCTGCGTTGGCAAACCAACACCGAACAGCAGGCGCCCGACGCGCGGGAACGACCGTCGTGAAATAATGCCTCCGAAATTCTTCAAAAAGTATTCGCACCGTTCAATAATTGCACTGGGGCGTAAATTTTGCATGTAAAATGTTTAGGATGCCTTCTAGACAGATTAAAAGCGCCAGTAAGAAGAAGAAATTTGTTTTATGTTCACTGGTCTAGTCACCGCCAAATTCCTTCACCACTTCGCAGTGCTGTGTTTACCAATCCCCTCCTACTAGAAATGTAAACATTGCACTGGTCAAACATGCTCCCGGATTGCCTTCTAAACGTACAAGTTGGCGTCTTGAAACATTCAAAGGTACTTCTTTCAGAAACGTTGCCGTTTTCGTCCGCTCACCAGCCATCGCCTAATATCAACAAAGGAGCCGACGCCGCGCGGCCTACGGAGACTGCAACCCCGGGCATCGGGGTTTGTTTTAAGACTTGAGAGCCTGCGCGGTCAAAGCTATGTTATGCAACTTTTCTACCACTCGGTTCTGAATAATAGTTGCAGATTCCCAGATAAACATGCTCACTCAGGAGCCAGCTCAACAAGCAACGCTTCTACAATCAACCTGCGTTGCGCATGACATGAAGACTATGGTCGTTTCCCTCGCCAGACAATCGAGCTGAAGCGGGTTAGAGTTGCTTTCCCCTCAGTGGCACAGCAACTTGGAACAGTGTCTCCCTGAATTAAAGCTGGCTCGCAATGTGTGTTTGGTTAAGTGAGCGAGAAAAGGTATCATCAAGAGGAGGGCATGTGCCTAAGCGTTTTGGGTTGAGAAACATTTTCTGAAATGATGCGTAAAGGAGTGCCTTTGTTTTGTTATACCTTAACTGAAATGCATATGGTTTATCAGCGATTTAAAAAAAAAATGTCGAGAAGCTTCACACACACACATATATATATATATATATATATATATATATATATATATATATATATATATTTGTGATGGAAAGCCAGAAACCGGAACATACGTGGACTATATCCGTAAAGCATTCGTACCTGTCCCGTTATGACAATTTCTAAGACATTGTACCCCCAATCATTTTGAGAAATCAACATCCATGCGTAGCTAAAAAAACTAGAGGGCTTTAGGTCTTGAGAAGACCAGGGCTGATGAACAAGAGCAGGGCTGAAGAGCAACACTGCACCGAATGATCTTCAAAAGACATTCTTCAGCTAAAAACCCACACAAATGTGGGGCATTCCCCTTAAAGCTCGAGCTTAGGTGGAGCGTTGGGTCCACCAATCGAATACAAAGCTACGTTTCTGCGCAACGATGCAACACATCGGTCTTTTTCGGGCTAATCGGCATTATTAGACTGATATACCACCATCATCAAAAGAGCTTTCTTACAGCACCCCTTCTTTCACGTTCCTATACATTACCTTTATTCCAAAGACCTGAAAAAGTTTTCCCATTTTCCACGTCAATCCGTTGTCATGAAAATTCCGTGCTATCTCTTCTCCAACGGAGCCACGGGCCTCTAAATAACATTACGAGATTTGCGGAGTTAGCTCCGGCGCGCCTGGTATGTAATGCTCGTGCATTAGCACCGAAATTGTTTGATATAAAGGGCAATAAAGCGGAAGATTATGCAAAGCAGCCTGTTGTTGGCGTGACGCAGATTTGGCCGGGCGCCGAACACGCCACAGCCGAGCCCCACGGACACCGGCCGCGGCGTGTCAGACTGCAGGCGACGATGGTGAGGTAGTACCACGGCCGGGCAGGGGTACAGCAGAGCCCACGGACACTGGCTGCGGCGTGTCAGACTGTAGGCGACGATGGCGAGGTGGTACCACGGCCGGGCAGGGTACAGCAGAGCCCACGGACACCGGCTGCGAGTCGGCGACGATGGCGAGGTGGTACCACGGCCGGGCACGGGCTCAGCAGAGCCCACGGACACCGGTCGCGGCGGTGATATCAGGTCACGGGACGGCCGGCCATGCCAACCCAGAGGCCGGCAGTCAGCGGCCAGCCGAATCACAGCCGTTTGGCCGATGTGTATCACTGGCTATATCTGTTCTTGACGTTTCGCGACGTTCGCATGTGAACGTTGAAAACACCCATGGGTACTTGGTTACGCTATGTTAAACGTGACGTTCCAAGAAGCTGGAGCCAACGGTATCTGAATCTATGCCCTCCAATTAATGTTTTTTCTTATTTTAGCATAATTTGCAACCATATTGGAGCGCAACGATGCGCTCTCCACAAACATCAGCTTGCTCACACCGTCTGTAATCGTTGTTAAAATCTGGTTGTCCTCCATCAGGCCCCTCCTCCCCTCCATGCGTAACGTGGTTCATGGACGGCACCTTACTGCCGATATGTGAGTATCCATGACGTGGCATGCATGGCGCTTGGTCCATTTTGTGTCAAGAAGAACAAACTAAGGTAGTGCCATTTCATGATTTAGGGCTGCGCGTCCTTCTATTCCGACATATATCCACCTACGCAAACGCGACGTTGCTATGCCTCGAAAAAGGCAAGATGGTAACCGGTGCTAGTGTTTACACTTGTGCAGCAACTGCCGCAAGTTCTCAGCTGCTGCTACAGTCACACAGTACACCTTTTACCCTTTACCATTACATATTACGAAGCGAGCTGTTTTCTACAGCACCCACGGACATCCGAGTGGCGCGTCTCTAAGCAAGCCACCCGACCTGCCAGTCCGGCCCGGATATCACGTACTCTGTGGACGGCGTTGCAGCAAACGATGACAGTCATTGTTACCTCATCGGCGCATGTACCCGTACCGACCTCAGTCGGCATCAGGTGGGCCGCTCGGCCAGCACCCGGGTGGTCCAGACGGACCCCCCTCGGCGCGACAGCCCCTATGACAAACGCGGCCGTAGCTCGGGATTACCGGCGGCGGCGGCGCCAGGGCGCGGCCCTTTCACGCGCGCCCGGTCAATGGGGGCGCCCTGACGCGCGCGCCGCGCCGCGGCCGTATTTCAAACTTATTGGACCCGCGTGAAGCGAGCGCCGATGCCGTGCGTAATATTTTGATGTCCGTGAATGTGCGCTGCGGCCGCGGGGCCCGCCACATCTGCATAAACTGGTGATAGCGACGGCTCATATTGATGCGAGCGTGACCTGCTCCGGGTCAAGGCCTGCCGGGTGTCATCCGAGGCCAGGATACCGCCGCTCATCAGGGCGGGTAGCACAGCCGGGCAGGCAGGGCGCGCGCTGTAGCTCGGCAGCTGGGCCGGGAGTGAGGTCTGGGCATCGCCCAAGGGCGCCACGGGGGCTGGCTGTGACAGTTTACGGTAAGAGTGAAGAACACCACCAAGGCGGTGCGGCGGTTTACAGCCGGGTGAGGAACACCGCCAAGGCGGAGCGGCGGTTTACGGTCCGGGTGAGGGGCACCGTCAGGGCGGGCCGTGTGATGGCCTACGGTCCTGGTGAAGAACATCGCTATGGCAGACCGTGTGACGGCTTACGGTCCGGGTGAGGGACACCGTCGGGGCGGGCCGTGTGACGGTTTACGGTCCGGGTGAGGTTTACCGCCAGAGCAGGTCGTGCGGCGGTTCACGGTCCGGGTGAGGGACACCGTCAGGGCGGGTTGTGTGACGGTTTATGACCCCCCCCCCCCCCCTCCCAGTCAGCCATGTCGTAACCGCAGGCCGCGCTCAGGGCCAGCTGGCAACGTCAGTCGGGGGCGGAGTTTGTAGGCGCGGTGTAGGCTGCGGTGGCCAACGACCACCGGTGGGACGGAAACGGCAGTGCCGGGCAATGGTGTTCTTGCTTGCAATGACTGCGACCGCGCAAGTCCGACGCTATATCCGATTTTGAAAAGGGATGCATGCCCTCAGACAAGCATGTGATGGCCACATCAGTTTTTTGGGCTCCGTGTCGATCTACCTTATTTGACACAAATGAGACCCATTCCCCTTGCCGGTCAGGGGGTGCCGTGAGTAGGACACTGAGGGGTACATCACGTTCCCCGGTCAGGGTCGGCGAGGCCCTTCTGTCTCAGCTCGGCGTACCCGCCGGCTATCATTCTGACGACGCAGAGGTCGGGACCCAGGTTGCTTCAGAGGCCTGCAGGGAGATACAAGATACATCGGCCCCGTCCTGGCGCCAGAGGCCCGCTAACCGGGGTCCTTCGGCCCGGATCAAGATAGAGGTTCTCATCGACGCAACAGGATTTCTCAACGGCCCGAGGAATTCAATACTCGGCAAAGTAACTCCAGTTTTGGGTTATTGGGACCCTCACTGAAATGGAGCGGGGGGGGGGGGGGGGGGCGGCTGGCGCAGGGCCTTCATTGTTTTACTGCAAACTCTTTCATCGTAAGTTCTTACACTCCATTTCAAAGACAGAGGACCCAGTCTAAAGCAAGAGGCCTTCCGACATTCCGTGCCCCGTCCCTACTCCGAACAATCGATGTGCCCTTGGCAGCACAAAGACGGAGGCATTGTGTCCTGCCGCGGCCACCGAGTACCGTACCAACCACGTGAAGTCATTCGAGGGATGCTGCAGGCCTTCACGGCGTGAGCCAATCCGTGAGTACCACACAGAGCAGCTAGGACTGCGTGGAGTACATCTTTTGGAAATTCGCGGGTACCAATGAGGTGTGGGTCGGAAAGCAGTACACCAAGCGTCAGCTAGATGCCTCACGGAGTGCCACACAATGACACAGGTTTCGCTCTTTTCAGGCACTGTTCTCTTCCTTCACGCGACATTTGCAATTACAAAGTCAGAAAGAGTAAATCCAGGCGTAAAATTGCACTGGCATTGTTCGCAATTTACGGGTAGTCATGCACAATAGACAAATGGCAAAGTCAGGCGTAACGTTGCATCAATGGCACGCAATCACAAAAGGCCATATCAAACAACGATGAGTGGTGACGGACGGTTACGACTCAATACGAATGGGTAGTGGGTAGGCAAGGCCACGACCTCACGCGTAGCGAGAGGATTTGGTCAAAGAAATTCTACTCATACAGGTCCCTTAAGTGGCACCGACACACACACATCACCACGAAAATGAAAGCACACGGAGTCAGATGCCTGGAATATCACATACGGCACCTGTTGTCGGCGTTCATGCCGTTGTCGCGCGCCGGCAAATACAGAAAGCACAATATGGAAGCTCGGCAGGCAAACCACGGCTAACGTCGTAGCTCAAGGACACAGCCGGCAGCGACACTTGTGATTCTTGATACTTGTGGCCGCTTGAAGGTTCAGTGATGAACACACAGGTCATGTCAGGGGTTCGTTCAGAGCGAAGTCCTCGGGGCTATGACTAACACTTAGCCATGTACGCAAACGATCCCAGCTCCGTGGCATAGTTACAACGCCGATCAAGCGCTGCTGCTGACACATTCGTCTTTCCGGTCCCGGCTAAGCACTGCTAGAATAAACAACCATGCTCTGAAGATCAAAACCACTCAAAGCTGTGGGTCAGACCGCTTTTGTCTCACGCTGCTTCCTGCAAGGACCGCTCATCACTGTTCCACATTTTAAACGCATCGTTTGAACAATCCTAAAAGATTACTGCTTGCCGCAACACCTCGGCGGGGATTCACAAACGGTGACACAAAGCGACGACCTGCGCTTTGGTGTCCACCGCCCTCACATAACAGCCTTGCACGCATTCTCGCTGTGCCTGGGCCCGCGTCCGCACTGGCACCGCCTTCCCAGACCTGTAGCGGGGGCCATCAGGGCGCGTGGCGCCGGGCCTCGCCGCGGCTGACGGCCCCCGAGGCCTCATGAGGAGGCTGACTCGGGTGCCGAGGCCCCGTGCGTGCTCAGGTGCGCGTTGTACGCCTCCTCGCGCACGAAGCTGGCGCTGCACAGCTGGCACCAGTGATTGGCGCGGTATGTGTTGCGGTTTCGGCCGCGGCCGGCTGGAGCGGCCGGGCCGCGCCGCTGCTTCTGAGGCGGTGGCCCGACGCCGCCGGGGAGCGCCGCCTCCTTGCCTGCCGACGAGAGCGCTTCAGCTCGCGTGCCAGCCAGGCCTCGCATGGCGGCGTCGCGTCGCAGTGCTCGTGCCAAGCAAATGTCGCCTGTTCTCCACTGCTCAGTCTCGCCTATTTCCCCACATGGAAGCTTTATCACCACCGTATCTCCGTCGCTTTGCCCGCGATGGCGACTTTTCAGCATGCTGGCATGACGCGGTGCCCTCCAATTTCCCGCGAAAATGACAAAACGTATCGCAGCCTCCTAAATAGCTGGACCAAACTATGCGCTAGAGCAACCCGCGACAGCAGCTGTCTCCGAAGTGCTCAATCAAAACAGCAATGCCTTTTAAGCGTTGTGTCAAAGCGTCAGGGACTCCATGTGATAAGGCAGTAACGTGCAGCATCGATCACAACTGGTCAAATCAATGAGACGCCTACACAAAATGAACGCGGAATATGTCGTGAGAGCTGTGCCGACCGACACACAAATTTACCGCCAATACAAACGTGCATCAATATAGCGCACCGTTACTCCGTCTACGTAGATGTAGAGCGAATAACAAAGTAGGATACAGACGGCCTAGCTCGCGCCGTACCTGGCTGACAGGTGTCGCGCAATGCCTCCGTTCCTGGCGTCGAACCGTGCCGAACCCGGATATGCTTCACGACGTTCGCTGCAAGGACCATCGCGTCAGGAAGTTAGAGCAACAATGTCCAATGATTGCATGGACTGCAATCAAACTACAGCATCCAAGGTGCAGACATGTTGAGGTGCTTTTCATCAATGCGTTCTCAACTACACCATACATCTACCCAGATTCGTTCGGGGACGTTACGCGGTGCGACCTTAACGCGCCGCCCTGCACCAGCCAGTTTTTGGGCGGTTGTACCCAGCCACCGCGCCGACCGATTGGACGACCGGAGGACGTAGCTCACCTCTGAACGAGGAGGCGAAGCCGCAGATGTCGCACTTGAAGGGCTGCTCGCCGGAGTGGCAGCGCCGGTGGCGCTTCAGGTCGCTCCTCGTGCAGAACGACTTGCGGCACTGGGGCTCCTCACACCTGTACGGACTGTCGCCTGCCGAGAGAGGGGTGTCAGACGCGGTCACGAGCGGCGCATCTCACCGGAGCGGGGCACTGGTGGCGACGCTGAGCATGCGAGCAGCGTGCGACGGAACAGGTCGGTCAAATGGACCACCGGCATTTGCGCGCACCCCTAAAGAGTGCACCCAGCTGTTCAAGTAAGCAGGCAGGTGCCTGGATCCCGAATCCCAAAGGATCCTTCGACAAAATTAGGACAGCATACCAGCTTTCCAAGGATCTTTTAGCAGTGTCATGGAAAAGGCCCGGACCTCAAAGGGCCCTTTGAAAACATTCAGGAAGAATTTATAACATGCTTCAACAGAAACCCCGCTCTCGAAAGATCCGAGATGTCCAGATCTAACACCATGATCCACTTCAAAAGTTTACAACATAGCAATATGGCAACATACAACACAGCTCAGCAGGTTGGTTGGCCGCTTGGGCGTCCCAGATGTAAGCAAATGCGTACAAGACACACATGAGACCAGCGCTTTTCTATCGGCAGAAACAAGTGACATTCAGAAAGTGCAGTTAGAACATGACAACCATCGTACAACACTGCGGTAGTCCCGGCTCCCAGGAAAACAACGCATGCATCGTCAGTTTGTGTTTGATTATGACCAATGGCACTTCGGCCGCCGTCCGGCCAGCGAACAGAACGCACAACACATTGCGCACAGACTTACGCACCTGTTCACGTACATCCTGTGTTTGCTTAATTGAAACTAACGACACCACACCTTGTTTACGACAACGAATTGCTGTTACGCGATGGTGTCCCCACTGCTGCAAGTCGTGCGAGTTTGTGAGCCTCTGGTGAGCTTAAGAAATGATGCTACGCGCGCTGTTAATCGGTGTTAATAGCCTGTGCGCTGTTAGTCTGTGTATAACCCAGCACCGACTGACAGCTGTCCTCAATGACCTGTGTATGACCGAGCACCAACGCCGGTGTGACCCATCACCGACCTGTGCATGACCCAGCACCGACGCCGGTTTGACCCATCACTGACCTGTGTATGATCAAGCACCGACGCCGGTGTGACCCATCATCGACCTGTGTATGACCCAGCACCGACACCGGTTTGACTCATCACTGACCTGTGTATGACCAGGCACCAACGCCGGTTTGACCCGTCACCGACTTGTGTGTGACCCAGCACCGACGCCGGTTTGACCCATCACTGACCTCTGTGTGACCCAGCACCGACGCCGGTTTGACCCATCACTGACCTGTGTGTGACCCAACACTGATGTCGGTGTGACCCATCACTGACCTGTGTGTGACCGCAGGTGGACAGTCAAGTGGTACATATGTTTGGCCGAGTAACTGCATACTTGGCAGCTGAAAATGAAAACAGCTCATTCAGCACATGAGTGTTGGCATCAAACATCCAGAGCAAGACTGGCAAGCGCTCCTACACGAGTCCGGTGTGTTCGAAGGAATGCAACATCGCTGAAGGCATGAATGGGAACGTTCACAGGTGAGCTTGGGAGGAGTCAACTGTATTACAACATAGAGATTTTCCGCCCGAACTGTAATGTCAAAGACAGCTCTGTTTTTGACATTCCCGAACGTTATGCTGACTGTCCACTCATAGCGCATTCAGAGGGCTACATTTGGCGCCGTATGTGGAAACCATCCGAAGATATTTTGTTAGAGCAAATAAGTACAACACAACACAACAGTACAACACAAATAAGTACACCTAACACAACACACGGACACCCACGAAACTTCAGCATTAAAAAGAGGATACTGAAAGCATGTTAATATGAAGCGGATTCGCCCTTCGATTGTCCAAATGTGCCAGCAATGGCTGTTTTGCATTTACAGACACGTGTTAGGTCCAACATGAGCGCCATTACGGCGATTTATTCCATGTGTCTTGCAATGTCATTACGTAGTCTATTGCGCCATCCTGTTGACCGCACACTTTCAGCGCATTCAGAAAACCTAAGTTTGGCGTTGCATGAGGAAAAACCGCGAATGCTGCGTCCGTACATTCTTTTTGGACATTTCGGGCTTAGATGTTCTTTCAAATATGTTCTCTCTGTACGCTCAAGACCCAGACCTTCTTTCAGATTTATTCATTTTTGGATATTCTAAACGATCCGATAGTTTATTCATTCTAGACTGCTATAATCAGAGTTGTCTCTCCATAAAAGTATGGGTGCAACAGCGTTTCAACCACCCATGCATCACCTTTGCTGTTGTGATATTGGCTTAGGAGCATGGGTGTAGTTTCCTATTCAAGGGGTCTTCAGCCCTCCCCCTCCCCCCCCCCCCAGCTTTGAGCAGAAAGTGGGAGGGGAATCCGGGGTTACCCTAAAAATTATTATCTCAGAAAGAATCCTCTGTTAGAGTCCAAATAGGCCCTGTTTGCGAAATTCTGGGCCTAAAAACAGGGCCGCTTGCACAGTCTCGACCTTGAATGGGGGTTGGCCCAGAAGGGGGCCAAATCGGGTGGCCAGGGGTCCTCCAGTCAAGATATTTCTTACCACTTCGTCGCTCTGTTTTTCGCAAGCGTCTTTCTCCGAGGATCTTGACATCCGAACAACGCTCTCCTAAGGCCCCGAAGTCTTAAGACAACCTCGGGTGGAATGAATATCTAATAAAAATAGGGCCATGATTTATCTATCCGGGAGAACGCTTTTGCCTCAGGATCCTATTTTGATGGCTCGGAGCCGTTTTCATATTTTAGAAGCCCGGCGGGTGTATGAAATGGCCAAAATTTAACTGAGGGGCCCCGCAACCCACAGGAAGGGGAAGAAGAAAGACATGCCCCCCCCCCCCACCCCCACTCCTTGCTGGCTACACCATTGTGCCTCTTCAAGTTTGGAGCACAAAAAATCACTTGGAGGCCGCTCTGGAATCAACACGAGCATGGGTAGCAGTGGAATATAGGTGGCCGCTGGAACCAATAAAAAATAGACAGTAAAACATGGGTGGTCGCAAGGAGCTCAGTCTCATGGACGGGACCGCCGAAGACGTCGGGCCCTCTCTGGAAGACTCTCAGACCGTGCACCTGCTCCGATCATGGAAAACTCTATGTGTTCTCTTTGCTAGTTTGCGTATATGTCAGACATCTGAGAAACGATGTAGCCTTTTCGTGTAACGTCATAGTGAGTTTCGTGCCTACCATGCATGCGAACAAAATGCACTTTGAAAGCTAACTCTGCTACATTTGCCTAAAATTTGCCTCTTCTGAAGTCTCAGCGTGGGGTAATAAGCAAAAATCGACCAACATGCCAGGCGGGAGCATTTTTTCTCATCTGTTTGATCACCGACTGTTATCCAATAGTCGTTCACTCGTTCCGCGTTGACGATTCGGGCTTTGGTGCGCGCCTGCGACAAAGGCCACATGGCGCCCATCACCCGTTCAGCGGTCGTGCTGGTACAAACGGGCCTCGTGGACATGTAATACCCCGCATGATTAGGCATACAGCACCAATATTTAGATAGCGTTCGTGTATTCTAACGCTAATTACATTAAGAAGAGGTTATTTTGAGACGCGTACATTTGGTGCATGTGGACTGTGCCACAAATGTCCTAAACAATGCCACCATTCGCTCCATATAAACCGGCCACTCGGTATCACGTTTGCCGTCCGAAGGAGGCTAAACAGGGTCCGTGCGGACGATGGGCTGGCACGTCCCCCACCAGCCCTCGTTCTACAGCTCGCCATCAGCTGAGCGCGCGGGAAGTGCGGTACCTTCGTGGACCTCCATAGACCTGGTGCGGAATATTGTAACCGCTCTTTGGCTACATCGCGTAAAGAGGCAGCAGCAGTGACCAGGATTTATCACTAGCTGGTAATTGGCTGCCGTTCAGTTCCAACGCACTTCAAACCTCCAGAACCTCATTCGTGGTGGTGCTGTTCTCATGGTCGCTTCATAGCCTGGTCTGAATCAAATTCAAAATAAAGCATGTACGCATATCCAGCTCCACTGATAAGTACATCCTGAAAACATGTGTTTGTACCGCTGTATTCGTCAAACGTCGCTGCAAAATGATGAGGTTTAAAGAACCACCTACCCTACACAGTGCGGTTACAGCTACCACCCGTTACAGCGCTGCCAGGATATGCAACGATTTCGGCTGTTATCTTCGTACAGGTGTGTTGGGGAAGAAAAAAGCTGAACCATTTGCAGATGGACACGTCCAAATATGTCTTTACGCTGCAACACTAAATATGGCCATGTGTTTATGCAAAGTTCTCACAAATGATGAGAAGTTGTATTCCTACATGAGAAAGGCAGCGATGCTCCCTATTTCCAAAATAAACAAGTCGTTTCGGTTTTGAAGGCACCCGTGCCCAGTCCTCACCGACTCAGACTAGCTGGGCCGCCATACTCCAGAGGCGCCCTCTCACCTGAAGGGCCGCTCGTGTCCAGTCCTCGCTGGCTCAGACTAGCTGGGCCGCCACACTCCAGCGCCGCCCTCTCACCTGAAGGGCCGCTCGTGTCGTCCTCGCTGGCTCAGACTAGCTGGCCGCCACACTCCAGCGGCGCCCTCTCACCTGAAGGGCCGCTCGTGTCCAGTCCTCGCTGGCTCAGACTAGCTGGGCCGCCACACTCCAGCGGCGCCCTCTCACCTGAAGGGTCGCTCGTGTCCAGTCCTTGCTGGCTCAGACTAGCTGGCCGCCACACTCCAGCGGCGCCCTCTCACCTGAAGGGTCGCTCGTGTCCAGTCCTCGCTGGCTCAGACTAGCTGGCCGCCACACTCCAGTGGCGTCCTCTCACCTGAAGGGCCGCTCGTCCGAGTGACGGTCGCGCATGTGTTTCTGCAGCTGGCTGCGGTTGACGCCGGCGTACGAGCAGCCGTCGGTGGGGCAGGGCACGCGGAGGCGGTCGCTCGGTTGCCGGTGCGCCAACCGCACATGGTCAGCTAGCTTGTCCGGCCGGTTGTAGGTGGCGCTGCAGTCGCCACAGGCGAACGTCTCCTCTGAGGGACGGGGAGAAATGAGACGAAGCAGGATGCGGTGCAGATGGAGACACCCCGCTAGACAGAGGCGGGGGTCACAGGACAGCTAGGCGCATCCGCTGGTGGAGGCTGGGTGGTCAGAGCGCAGACCGACCTCTCCTCTGATCAGGCGAGTGAGTTCAACGTGCAGGCGGCCGTCTCGCTTTCGAAGGCGGCAGGCTGACCTCGATCCCGCAGGCAGAGGTAGCACTCAGCGAGGTTCAAGAGGCGTGGAAAAACGCACGGAAGCAACATCACGCTAACATGACGGCTAGATCACAATATCTGGTGGCCTCATTCATGAAAACACTTCAAGGCCGGAGAGGAGCAAAAGGACTGAAAGAATGCTGGCACACAAAAACGCCCCAAGGAACGATCACCCGAGACACCGTTTATGCACTAAAGCCGCTCTTATGGCACGATTTTCGCCAAGCACCGGAAGGTTTGTTTCATCCACCACGCAGGCGACACCCAGACCACACTGGATGACACTCGCCACTCACTTAAATGCTTGAACTGGTGGCGCCTGAGGTCCTTGGGGAAAGCGCAGCGGTGACCGCACGTGTCGCACACGTACTTCCTCGCGCGCGTACGCTTCTTGGGCGGCGGGCCGGACGCCGCCGGCGGTGCGTGTCTCTCGTCGGGCGGGGCGGCAGGCGTGACCGGCTGGCGCGCGACGGGCAGCGCCGCGGACCGCTCGTCGCCGGCCGCCGCCAGGCCGGGGCTCGGCGCGCCCGGCCGCGCCGTGCCGTTCAGAAGCAGCGGCGGCGCCAGCTGCACCAGCAGCTGCAGGCCGGTGCCCGGGCACGCGTCGGCCTCCGTCGGAGCCGGCGAGCCGGCGCGTGCGTCATGGCCGGGGTCACGGTTACGGTCAGCTGCGGGGGCGAAGTCCGAGGCGGCGACGGCGGCGCGCGCGTCCGCGATGTCGGTGCTGCGACCGAAGCAGGGGTCCGCCTCGCAGCAGCCGGGGCCGGAGCCAGAGCCAGAGCCAGAGCCGGAGCCGGAGCCCGAGACGGAGCCGGAGCCGGGCACGGTCGCGGGGAGCAGCACGGTCCTGGTGGCGCCGGACGCAGGCAGCTGCAGAGCCGGCCTGCCCTCGGGCAGCGGCTCCGAGCCCGGTGTGACGCCCGGCGCGCCCAGCGGCACGCCGGCTCCGTGGAACGCCATGGCCGGCAGGTACGTGCACTCGCTCACGGCGTCGGCGACCGGACAGCCGGCGGGGTCCACCACGGGTGCGAGCAACGCCGGCGCACTCGTGGCGTGATAACCAGCTGCCTGGCTGACCTGGCTCTTGACTGCACCATTGCACAGCGCGGGTATTGCCTGGGCGCGATAACAACGGATAGTGTTACGAAGGAGGTCGCTCAGTGGCACGTAGCCGGGCATACGCAAGCAAGCAGGCAACGGACCACAGCACGTTTGAAATTGCATTTCAATAATCGAGCTGGAGGAAAAGCACAGGACGCAAGTCAACGACACACTTAGTCTCGGGGCATAAAACATTTTTGGCATGTGTATCACGGACAACTGAGCACCTTCAAATAAGCAGAAGACATACAAACAACAACGTTCACATCGATGGACTCTCATAGCAGATATACGGAAGCATTTGGTCATAGTTTTTCATAGGGCGGTGACAACAAAAACATCTCACGTTATTAAACTGTGCCTGCGTCGCTGAGGACATGCAGTGGCGCGTCCGGTGCACAGCAAAGGCGAAGACCGTAGAGAACTGGACTTGGCAATGTCCACATAAGTGAAGGTCCCCCTCAACATCGACCAGGCCTGTATCTGGCTCCAGCGATATCTTCATCTCCAATGCTGCTTCAGGTCGATGTCTTTGGTAACATCAGAACACACCTGAAAGCAGACGTATTCTCAAACAAGACGAATTAATGTAAACAGAATGGTGAAACTGTCACACAAACATCCTGTGGGTGGTTTTCTATGGGGTTTTTAACTGAAACAGCTAGTTTAAAGGTAATTCCCTGCAGCTTAAGACCATGGTCTTTTTATACCCATGCTCTCTTTAAGCCTTCAACCTCTTTGTTCACGCGCTAAATACACGCGAACTGACCGCCTATATTGCATCATCTATTGGGAAGTCACCCACACATGTATGACGTCATGGACGCCTCACGCGAATACCCCTTTGTTATTGGCTCTATTATGCTCATTGTCAGGACAAATTACGTCCAATGGAGTATTTGCATGTGCAGTGGAGCCGCGACAAGAGTCAGTCAACTTGTAAACAATCGGCTGACAGTCAAATTGGCCTGTCAAATACATATTTCGATCACGAACGGCATTTTGAGATAACACAGGCATTTGGACCAGCAATAATTATGACGGACATGATGCTGAAAACCGAAGAACTTGACAATAGCGGCGTAACGGAAAATGCAATTTCAAGTAAAAAACATGCAGTCCTGAAAAAATATACGACAAAGTCCAAAACACACACACACATAACGCCCGTAAGTTAATTTTCACACGTAGAATAGCAACGCCGCCTTACGACGCGCAGAAGCACCGCAAGTCAACCATGCCGCCCGCTACATCGGCAACTCTCACATGGCGCTCTGGCAGCGACACTGACGTCATAAAATCGTTGCAAGGCGTGATGAAATGTTGGTGTATTGAGGAGCATATCTACTAAAAGAGCAACATATTGTTATTCAAAGCAGCCTATTACACTTTGAAGCATACCAATAGCTACCAATGAGGTTTGTCATACCTGATTTTTTTTCCTCACATGTTCAAAAGCAGAGCAGCCCTCTCAAATGACTATGCCAGCATGAACATGGCGGAAATTTATGAAGACCCCGCCCAATAGACACGTTCTGAATTCGGGTGCAGCGTAAGAACGGACAATGTTCGTCCAAAGAACTGCGGAGGTCCCACCAAATTCGCAGCGCCTTTTGTTCTCAAGCCTCTGGTGGAAAAACCGCTGGCATGCGTACATAGTAGTCCCCGAAAGATGTGCCTCTCCCCCCCCCCCCCCCCCCACCTAAACCAAATTCATTGCATGCATTTATGTGTGCGAGACTAGATGTTGGCAGCTCAAGATTCCCGCAAGACACGTGAAAAGTGAGAATGCCAAGAACATGCCATCCCTGCTTACAACACACAAAGAATTGCGCGCGCCACCGACGAACCAAACACGCTTCTCAGTAGAGTTTTGTGAGCCGTCTGTACTCCCATCATGGGTATCCTGAGTACGCCCTTGAGTGAATGGCGTTTATCGCTGCCCCTCGTCCATGTTTGCGTACACCGTGTTAAGGCCGTGCACGTGTTACACTTGTGCGGGCGTGTTATTCCAGTGCAGCCCATAACACATGGCAAGTGGTGTGGTTCTGGTAGAGCTACAATGCGCTACAACCGAGCTACTGTTAGTTCTCCCTCTGGCCGTCCCACTCATGGGTAAAAATCTCGTATGGCAGATGTGACAGCGGCCATGACGCAACTTGTATTGAAATTCATGCTTTTAAACAAGTTCACATTCAAAAATACCAACAGTCCCAGCTTTGTCCCACTTCCCTTTCACAACATCCCCGCTCCGCGGCGTGGGAGTAACTTTCGCCGAGAGCTTAAACACATCTGATCCCATCGTGTCGGTGCGTACGCCAAGAGCTTATGAAACCCAACCACGTCATTCCCATGACGAAAGCTGAGCGCTAAAGAAAAGCACGTTAAAACACCTGACATATCTGCAGCCCTGTTCGCCTCGTCGCACCGACTTGCGCACAGACTGCGGGCATCGCGACCAAACATCGCCCAGTCGCCACACCAAAGTTCCATTGGCTGCAGTAGCTTCCCAACAAAAAGGCGGACGTTCGGTGGCCGAAACGACGAACACGTTGTGCAATAGCCAAACCTTGGCTACAAAGTCGCATGATCATCCTGCAAATGCTAATGGGAGCACGATATCTTGTCCCTCTGTTCCTACGGGGCCGCTCTCCTATTGCTCAGCCCGGGCGGCCGGCCGTCAGCAGACCTTCTGTAGACAGTCGGTCTTGCATCCAGAGACTAGACACATTGAAGTGACCCAAACCATGTGACAGGTCTGGTCCATGCAATGCGTATTAGGTGTGTACGACGAGACAAGATGAGCAATTACATATTAGATATAACTTTCATTTACTTAGTCCAGGCAGGTCACAACCCGCCACGCATTCCCCGCAAGAGTTGACGACCCCGTGTGGTCGCATCACCAGCGGTCAGTTCGTAAATGTTGAAGGTGTCGATTTACGCAACAGCTCACACACCCGGCTGACTTCGATGCGCCAGTTACCATCGTAAAATCACCGCTGTTTCGCAAAGCTCTCGATGTATTTGATGTGAGAACAAAAGCTGTCAAGCTTTCTCCGGCAAGTTCTAGCCACATTCATCGTCGTGATCTTGCAAACATTTTTTTCTGCTTTCGTGTCGAGATACAGCTCCGCCAACCGCATAGCTCTGAATGCTTGCATAACCAAACCATCGCTGGCTGCGGCGGCACTGTCTGAATCGCCATATTTCCTTTCTACCTGAAATAATTCCACAACGCAGAACTAGCACTCCAAACATGCAATAGGCAAGAGCCCGTTAGGAGTCAGTGCAGACAAGCAACGTATGCATCTTTCCTAGTAGTATGAGGTAACGAATTACTGGAGTCGTTTCAACACATTAAAGACAGCGACGACGTTGTATTTCATAAAAGCATGTCACAAAGGCTTCCCGGAATACATTTTGAACGATTTTGAACACGCTGCTGAAATGTTGGGACCTGGGCTTGCGTCATTTTACACACGTGAAGTTTTTGACCTTGCTGGCTCATGATATATGAACTATTTTGCAAGGTCATGCTGATGACATTTTGTCACATGCTACAAATCACGCCTGTGTCTCGCAGGAAATGCACTTCAAAGATAATCTTTCAACGGACTTCCCACATGCAACAATCTGACGACCTTTGCTGCCATTATTATAATTTTGGCAAGGTCATGTCATCCCAAGGTCCACCTGCGTGAAACAGTTGCCTTTGTAACCAGATTTGACCCTTGGACGTCATGTTATTCAAATGTCGATGGCACACAACATACAGCTTTGAAAAGCCTTCCATAGGAGGGCTTTCCGAAGGCTTAGGGCTTGTTGAATAGGCGACCGGTTTAAGGATTATCTTCGAAGTGCATTTCCTACAAAACTAAGCGTCATTTGTCACGCGTGACAGTACATCACCGGCGTGACCTTTCCAAAGAGTTCATATATCATGAGCCAGCGATGTCCGAAGGCTTGGGACTGATAGTGTAGTGATGATACAGACACTGAAATTAACAACAGCAAAAAAAGAAAACAGGTAGTGAAAGCCTTTCTTATCATGAGGTGTGGGAGTTTCACTGAAGTGTGATTCCAACAAGTCCCACGATCGGTAGATATTTTACTTAACGAGGTAAGACCACGGCAAAAAGAGCGACAAACGCAAGAAATTTCCACCATTTGCATCCGCTTCTCCATTGTGAAATCCTTCACTCACACCTACTAAACATGTTGCGACCGCAACCAAAAGCACTGGCACGGCCGCTCAGACGCTGCATGCGGACACTCGCAATTCAATACCATGTCCATGGTTGACCTTTGGAAGAGGTGACCTTTGAAGAAGAGTTGACCTT